TTGTGGGTGTGGATGGAAAATACATTTAAGTTAAAACTGCCATCATAACAAAGAAGTAGGAATTAGATAAATGTAGAATGTTTTCTGCTTATGTAATGGGGTTCAGGGCAGTTCACCCCAGAAAGTGCCATTTTGGCATGTGGGTTATTTTGAGCTGAAGACAATAAAAGCCCCACAGACTCAGGAGGAGGTTTTTACCTCCCCCTTAACTGCCTAAAATAATTTAGACCGGGAGCCCGAACCACGAAAAGAGCTATTACCAAAGGTAACTTTTTTCATGTAAGAAAGACTTCTCAGCAGGCCGTGACAGACATTTGTTTACCAAACCTTCAAGATTCCCATCTTTCTGTGAATTGCCTTCCTCCCCTTCGAAGTCCCAAAAACTTAACCCTTTTTCTTTAGCTCAAGAATGCATATTATTCTCAGTTGTCTGACTGTCAGTGGGTCTCATTTTCTTATGGAGCCACTGTATACACATAATTAAATTTGTTTTTCTCCTCTTAATCTGTCTCATGGTAATTTGATTATTAGATAAGGAAAAGAACCCAAAAGGTAGAAGAAAATGTTTTCCTCCCTGACTTATGTTAAACATCATCTTAAAGTATTTGATGACAATAAACAAATACTACAGTATTTCATATCATATTATAACCAATTTCCTCACATTCAGACAAATGTGAAAGGAAATAAACTAGAAAAATATTTTCATAGATGTTATAAACATAGATTATGTATTTCATTTGTTGTTCTACAAATCATACCCATTAAAGAAAATTCTTGGTGAATTCATGTCTCTAGGAGTCAGTAAACTAACTGCTGAGCATATTACAGATGCATTTAAGTACTGAACACAAATAATAGAAAGATATATATAGTTATAGAGATATAGATACACAGATAAAAATATCCATATAGATGTTTTTAACCTAGATTATAATCTTACTTTTAAGACAGTGAATACACATGATTACAAATATAATCTGTACTTAATAAGTTTAAATATAAATGCCAAACATAAATTTGATGAATTTGGTATGTGGAAAGGAATTATCTTAAAGTTCTAATCATTATTTAATAATGTAACTGCACTTTCTTTAAAACGTTTTAAATATTTGCTAATATTTTCCACTACTTTTTTCTTAAACTTTCATTTTAAGATAATTATAGAGTCATGCGCAGTTGTAAGAAATAATACAGGAAGATCCCAAGTATTCTTTATCTAGTTTCTACCAATTGTAACATTTTGCAAAACTATAGTATAGTAGCATAAGGAGGGTATCAACTTCGATACTATCCACTTATCTTGTTCAGGGTTCCCTGTTTACTTGTATCCATTTGGGTGTGTGTGTGTTTATAGTTATACTTAATTTTACCACATGCTTAGGTCCCTGTAGTCAGCAACATAGCCAAGAAGATACAGAGTAGTAAAGATGCTAATATTTAAAAAATAATTTTAATGCACTAGCAGTCTTTTAAAGCAAAAGTTAGCAAACTTTTTCTGGAAAAATACAAATAAAACATTTTTAGGCTCTGCAGGTCATACTATCTCTGTTGTAACTACTTAACTTTCCTTTTGTAGGGCAAAAGCCTCCAAGATAGTTCCTGTACAAATGGCTCTGTTGCGGTAAAACTTTGCTTTAAAAATACGGACTGTCCTGGCTTTGGCCTGTAGGTTCTTCTTTGTTGATTCCCATTGAAGGTTTCCAAATAACCTGTGTTAGTATCTAAAAGGAGCAAATGTTTTCTCAGAGGAGGAAAACTCATTCCTGTTATTATGTTTGTTTTTATTTTTTTCTGTTTATAAGTATCTAGTTAAATATCAGTTTTTGAGGAAGATATCATACTGAGCATTGCAGGAGCTGCAGCTGTCCAGGATCCGTGTTTGGCAGATGGTTCCCTCAGACCATTAGTCTCTCACTGTACCCGAGGGGCAGGGACTACATGCTGCAGGCACCCTTCTGAAGCACGATCATGCAAACATACCAGGAAAGACTCATGGTTCTTGTTTTTAATAAAGAGAGATTGCTCTTCAGTATTTTTTCCACACAGGTTAATAACTCCTCTATCTTTTGACCTTGAACCTTTTAGGTAGACACACTTTGGGACTACATAGCAATCTCTCTTTTCTGGTTATGGTATTCTTATGAGTTACCATTTATTCATAAACACCTGTTGAGCCCAAATGCCCTGGGTTCTACTGCAGGCACTCAGAGTCCCACCTCTAGGCCTCTCTAACAAAGCTAGAACACAGGCTGAGCTCCATGAGACGACAAACAGCGTGGCACTAAGTTCTGTATGTAAGATACTAAATTCATTTATTATAATTCACTTCACTTCCTACAATTTCAAACTGTTACATTTTAAAGAAGTGACAAGAGATTTTAAAAAAATTTCTCCCTCTCTTGCTCTTTATCCTCTAAGCATGTACATTACCAATTTATTTGGAATACACCAAAAATGTTTAAAGTTAACTGTCACACTTGTTCTAACTGATTATTCACAAAGGAATCTAACCTGAAGAGGATTTCTCTAAACTTTATTTGAAACATATGGATGTTAAAGTGCTGGGCTGCAGTTATTCCCTTTTGAAAAGTCTAGTAGTACGCTATTTCACTTGGTTTTATGTGAAGCTTGATTATTAAAAATATCCATTGATTTTCTGGCTAGCAAGTTTTTTATGACATAAACCACTTTTTGTTCTTGAGGAGTCATATATTTTTAAAGTAAATTTTTGCTTTAAAATGGCAATGTGACATTGATTTTTTTAAGTAAGTATTTTAGCAGTTCTTAAACCTAATATTTTGATTCTTTTGGCCCATTATTGGAAACAATATAAATTGCTGAAATTCCACAGGAAATATAATTTATAATAAAAACGATTAATTTTCACCATCACAGAAATGTCAGGCCTTAAGCTATACAGAATTTTCTTTAATGTCCAAAGCTTGGCCAATTTTGCACTAATGAAAAAAAAGAAATAATTTACTGTTTAGTTCTATATTACTCACTTCTTTTTTGATGAAATAAAGTTCTGTAATTGTACATATATATATATATATACATATCATAAAATATATTCTTATACTTATTTGTATATATTTATCTAATATATATATTAGGCAAAACAACAAAACAAAGAAACAAACAGAAGATCCATAGATTCTGAGACCTGGAGAATGTGCTGAGTCTTGACAACTACCCCAGGTACTATAAATGAGATTTTAATACTATATATGATGGAAACGTATTTTAAAATAACCCAGATCTAATATATATGTTTAGTATAAGTCTGAAGGATAAAAATTTTTTTCAAACCATTGTTTTATGAACATAAAGAGTACAACATCCTAGCTATATATAGTTCATCTATGTCCATGCTGATTTACATATTAGTTGCATTATGCCTAAGCATCCAGCAATAAAACAGACCATTAAATATACCAGATGTTATATCCCACATGATACTTAAAATCATATCTTTCCATATAATCAATTGTAGGATGTCTGCTGGACAAAATTTCAGCTTGAGAATATAACTCTAAATTAACTAATAGAATATTATTTACAACAGTTTATAGTTTGCCTCAGTGGCATAGCAAAATTTCCACTGTACCATCTTAGGCCAAAATGACAGATAAAAATACTTTTTTTTTTATGAGTCTTAAAGCACAATGTTAATAGAACCAAGTCTAGCTATTTATAAAATAGACTAGAAGAGGGGGGAATAAACTGAACTTGAAACCAGAGCATCTGCTATTCTTCCTGTAATAAAGGAGAACCTAGTACCGCAAAATTTTCTGTACACTTGCTCCAGGTGCATATAGTTTACCAAGGTAAGGAAACTATTCTTATAATTTTGTTTTGACTACATCAAAGGGCTTGTAATAGCTGCAATGACTACAGAGTACTAAATCTTAGCTCATTCGAAAAGCTTTGTGTAACATTTTTTATTACCTTGAAAATAATACTTTACTCATTCTACCAAGTTTGGAAGGAGAAAATGTTTAGTCATTTACCTTAATTGGTAGTTCACTGAAGTACATTATGCTTCAGGCATAAATTTAAGCTGAAAATGAAAATATCACACAAGATTTTTGGTGTATGTATACCTCCAGAGCATTCTGATAAATTGGGATGTAGAAATAATCGAAGATTAGAAATCAGGTTAATTGCTGACCTATTCAAATGGTAGAAGTTCTATACATTTAGCTCTTTAGAGTTTCAGTCTGGCCTATGACCATTAATATGCAAGTATTCTCTCTAGCATAAACAAATAAATAAGAAATGTTTGTAAATAAACATTAAAGATATTAAATATCTTTTTAATAATTTAATATTTTTAATTAAATATTTAATTAATATTTTTAATTAAATGTTTAATATTTAAATAATTTGTTACTAATTCAGCAGTAATTTTCCATAAACAATGACCAATGATTTTGAGTACCATGAAAGTAAACACCAATGTTTTAAAATTTTAAATTATTGTCTTCTCAGATTTACTCACTGAGTTTAGTAGATCATCGTAGCTATTTCAGCAGGCATTTACTGGCTCCATATAATTTGAGTTATCTGTTGCAAACTAAAACCATCCTTTTTAATCAGAAAGAAATTAGATGCTATCACAGCATGGCTTGGCATTCACTATTCCTTCAGTTTCACTGCAGGTGCTTTTCACTGGGTGGATTTGGCCTGTTGATTGAATTGGCTACCCTGTGTCCTAAGATGACGGCCATGATTGGAAAGCCATATGGTGCAATGCTGTAAGCTTCTGAATCATATTTTGGCCAACTTTGTTCTCACAATTGAGATTCAAAATGGTATCTGTGTAAATTCTATATACTTGCTGCTTATGGGTGTAACTAAGCTTACATTTTTTCCCTTTTCCTTTTAAAACACTTGCTGATGTAAAACCATGCTAGAATTTAATCTTACAGGGACTAGTTGAGAAGAGGAAAGAAACAGAGGCAGGTGACACTTTAGGATCTCCCTGCATGTACCTTTGAAGAAGCAGTCTTCACTGTGGACAATGGCAATCTTCTGCTTCTTCAGGCAAGCGGCTCTATGCACTTCACAGTGGTTTTCATAGAATTCTCCATCAGATCCACACACAGGTTTGTAGTGCCGTTTGCAAAGATCCATGCAAGTGCATTCTGCTTGCCCTGTCTCTCTGCTAATAACACAGTGCCTTCCCAAACCGCAGTATTTATTTTCACAAGATCCCAGCGAGCCATCCTGAATCAAGAATCCTGAAGAAAAAGAACAGAAAATCATTTTGATTCATATGTCCAAATAATTCATGCATGTCCAAGTTTCAAATGAAAAATCACATCTGAAAGTAATTAGTATAATCAGTGTTCTGGTGTTGTCAGTAGAAGAGGGACTCAGAATTGGCAGATGGCTTTTCTAAAGTTTGCTCAACATTCTTCCCTTCTTCCCCGCCTGTGCTGGAGTTCCCTTTCCCTCCCTGTGAGTAGTGGAGTCCTTAAAGTCAAGGTCTCTAAAGTTAAACCACTGAGTTCAAATCCTGACTTTACTATTCATTAGCTTCATGTTCTTAAGTAAATTAATCCTTTGTGCTAAGTCATCCCATATGTAATATGGAGATAATGGTAAAGACACATCCTAGAGTTTACAAAATATTACATGTAATTATCCACAGAAAGCACATCCCAAGCAAATAGTAAATGTTTAACAGATGTCAATTCTTAAGTTAATAGAATTCAGGATAGGAGAAGTAACACATTGGTATATAAGACAGCAAGTAGGAGAAGATAGGAATGTAAAATAATTGTGTCCTGAAAACTTCTTGGTGGAGTCTGATAAGCTGATCCTTTCATGTTTTGACCCTTTCCACCTGACAGTCAGCATTTGATTTCCCTGTTCCTTATTCAGTCTAACAATCTCCATTGGCATCACAAAAATATAGATGGATCCAACAGTATTACACTAAAACACAACCAAACAACTTCAATCCTATGCTCTTCTAGGAAGAAGGCAGATATATAAACTACATCCATATCTGTCAATCTGTTTATATATAGATAGGGAGAGATACACACATACATATATAATACATATGCATACACAGATATGTATGTACATATATACATGCATTATATGTATGTGTCTGTGTGTGTATATGTACATAAATTTCATCACTGACAACTATATATTGCAGAAAAAGATAAAAAAATTACAGTAATTTTCTTAGATACTAATTGTGTATTTCCAGCTTGTTGATTTAAAACCATATGTGCATAATGACATCATAATGAATAAGAAAATAGATTCTGAGCTGGAGTTTAAATCAGTGCACCAGAAGTTGCAAGCTTCAGGACTTTGAGTGAGTACTGAGAACACCAGTCACTCAATTTCCTCATTTGTGAAATAATGATAATAGTATGTCCTCATACGTTACCAAGATTAATGGGCTTGGCACATATAAAACTTCATTTAAATTGTTAGTTATTATTCTTACTATCTTTTCAGAAACTGCTTTTCATGACAGATGTATTCAAATGAAAAAGTATTTCAAGAATCAATTTTGATTTTTAAATGAAGCCCATGCAGTACTTTTGTCTTCATATGCAGATTTTCAAGTAGAATTTTGCAAAATTAAAAAAAAATGAAAAGACCAATACTATCAATGGCATAATTTAAAAAGCTAATTTTTATTTTTTGATAGGAGTATAAATTGTAACAAATCTTCTTGAAAACATTTAAAAAATATTTTGTTCTTTGATAACAAAGTACAGTGGCTGATAAAGCATTCTATAAAATTTAAAACAAAAAAGAAAAAGATATTATAATTTATTGAACAAAGTTTTCCAGCATGGTATGATTTTAAATGATAACTCAATGAAATGTTTTAGTAAATTTTGGAAAATATATTTAATGCAGCAAATCCTGAAGTCTGGCACGCATTAGAATGGCCTAGAGAGGATGTTACAACATAGATTCTGCTTCCACTTCTCCTCAGAGTTTCTGACTCAGTTGATTTGGGGTATAGCCCCAAATTTATATTTCTAAGTTCACAGATGCTGATGAGAAACTCTGTTTCTGAGAATATTTTAGAGCCTTTGATTTACTGAAATCAAGATTGTAATTAAATAACAAAGAAAAAGAATAGATTTTCTAGACAGCCTACTGGGAGTAATTCTGTTGAAGGGGCATGGTGAATATCTGGAAGATCCTCCTGTATGACCCTTACTACAGCCATTACCAAAACTGACAAGAGAGGATAGCAGATTCAAGATGGCAGCATGACAGGTGAGACAGAGAACTTCTCCTAAAGCCACATACAGTACTAAAATATAGTCAATACAACTCACTCTGAAACAGCAACAGGAAGAAAGGCCTCACCACACTGCACGCAGACCTCACAAACAGAGCAGACCTCACGGAGCAGGGTAACGTACCAAAGCTTTGACCCGATGGGACCCAGGCCCTTGCGCCACCCCAGCTCACTGGCGGGAGGAAGAGAAACGGAGCAGGGAGGGGGTGGAGGCTAAGACTGCTGAACACCTTGCCCTGGAGGTCTACTTTGGGAGGAGAAACCTGCATTGTGTGGTGCCCTGGAGGCTGGGGAGCTGGGACAGGCAGAGTGCCTGAGAGACTGAGGTTCTGACCGTTTGTGGAGGACAGGATCCACACCCAGCTGTTGTGTCAGAGGAAAGGCAGGTGGTCTGAGAGGCTTCCTAGCAGCAACATGGCTGCTGAAGGGGCTGGGTTTGCACGGAGCTTGCTGTGCAGGGGAGGGGAGAGCTGCACAAGGTTGTCTGGGCGCGCTCTTCCCAGCAGGTTGGGAACTTTGAGGAGCTTCAGGTGCTCCATTCCCCTGGCTGGCTACTCAGCTCCGAGGCCCCCCTCTGTGACATGCAGCCTGCTGTGCCTCCCTCCTGGACTGCCGGCACCTGCTCACAAACTGGCAGTCACAGTACTGGCATCAGGCAGCCAGAGGGAGGCCCTGCCTCCAACAGCAGGAGACCCCAAGCACAGAGGTTCACACCTGTGTGCTCGGCCCACTGGCTCTGACACTAGAGACAGACACTGCAGCCAGAAAGCAGGAAATAGCTTTCCTCCCCCCATGCATAAGCGCCCCTCCCCTATGACCCCAACCTCACTCTAGGGGATGAGCAGCTCCAGAGACTGGAGCTTATAGGCACTAGAGGGCAAAACACAGAAATATGAAATGTCAAAAGAGCATGGTTCAGACCAAAATCTCGCAGACCCCAGAAAAAGGGCCAAGTGATAGTGAACTCACTAATCTTCCTGAAAGAGGGTTCAAAATAAAAATCATAAACATGCTTATGGAGGTACAGAAAAATATTCAAGAACTCAGGAACGAATTTAAGATGGAGATTCAGTCATTAAGAAATTCCTTATCTGAAATTAAACATACAATGGAGGGATTTAAAAGCAGATTGGATGCAGTAGAAAAGACAGTAAATGGAATAGAAATTAGAGAAGAGGAATACAAAGAAGCTGAGGCACAGATAGATAAAAAAATCTCTAAGAATGAAAAAATATTGACAGAACTGTGTGACTTATTCAAACGGAACAATATTCTCATTATAGGGGTACCAGAAGAAGAAGAGAGAGAAAAATGGATAGAAAGTGTCATTGAGGAGGTAATTACTGAAAACTTCCCCAATCTTGGGAAGGAGATAGTCTCTCAGGACATGGAGGTGCACAGATCTCTGAAAACAAGAGACCCATGGAAGAAAACAACAAGTAATTAAAATGGCAAAGATCAAGGATAAGGACAGACTATTAAAAGCAGTCAGAGAGAGATAACTAATAACTAAATTCAGCAAAGTAGCAGGATAAAATGAATACACAGAAATCTGTTGTATTCCTACATACTAACAAAAAACTAGCAGAAAGAGAAATCAAGAAAACAACTCAATTTACAACTGCACCAATAAGAATAAAATACCTAGGACACCTAATGAAGGAAGTGAAAGACCTATACCCTGAATACTACAAGACATTCATGAAAGATATTAAAGAAGACACCAATAAATGGAAATACATCTCATGCTCATGTACAGGAAGAATTAATATTCTCAAAATGGCCATCCTACCCAAAGCAATCGACAGAGTCAATGCAATCCCCATCAAAATACCAAAACCATTCTTCAATAGAACTATTTAAAACAAATAATTCTAAAATTCATATGGGACCACAAAAGACCCCAAATAGCCACATCAATCCTGAGAAGGAAGAACAGAGCTGGGGGGATTATGCTCCCCAACTTCAAACTCTACTACAAAGCCACTGTAATCAAAACAATTTGGTACTGGCACAAGAACAGAGCCACAGACCAGCAGAACAGAATAGAGAGCCCAGATATAAACCCAAGCATATATGATCAATTAATATACATAAAGGAGCCATGGATATGCAATGGGGAAATGACTCTTCAACAGCTGGTATCGGCAAAACTGGACAGCTACATGTAAGAGAATGAAACTGATTTACCGTCTAACCCCATACACAAAAGTAAACTCAAAATGGATCAAAGACCTGAATGTAAGTCATGAAACCATAAAACTCTCAGAAAAAACATAGGCAAAAATCTCCTGGACATAAATATGAGCAAATTCTTCATGAATGTATCTCCCCAGGCAAGGGAAACAAAAGCAAAAATGAACAAGTGGGACTATATCAAACTAAAAAGCTTCTGTACAGCAAAGGACACCATCAGTAGAACAAAAGACATCCTACAGTATGGGAGAATATATTCATAAATGATATATCCAATAAGGGGTTGACAACCAAATTATATAAAGAGTTCATGCACCTCAACAAACAAAAAGCAAATAAGCCAATTAAAAAATGGGCAGAGAAGCTGAACAGACACTTCTCCGAAGAAGAAATTCAGATGGCAAACAGGCACATGAAAAGATGCTCCAAATCACTAGTCATCAGAGAAATGCAAATTAAAACCACAATGAGATATCACCTCATACCAGTAAGGATCGCCACCATCCAAAAGACAAAGAACAACAAATGTTGATGAGGATGTGCAGAAAGGGGAACCCTCCTACACTGCTGGTAGGAACATGAATTAGTTCAACCATGAGGAAAGCAGTATGGAGGTTCCCCAAAAAACTAAAAATAGAAATACCACTTGACCTGCGAATCCCACTCCTTGGAATTTACCCAAAGAATACAACTACTCAGATTCAGGAAGACATATGCACCCCTATGTTTATCGCAGCACTTTTTACAATAGCCAAA